AGAGACAGAGACAGAGACAGAGACAGAGACAGAGACAGAGACAGAGGCAGAGACAGAGGCAGAGACAGAGGCAGAGGCAGAGGCAGACAGAGAGTAAAAGGAGAAAAGATAGGGCAAAGAGACGAAGGAAATATTTGGGGCGGACCATAGTCTGCCGTTAGAGCACTTCACCAGCATTCGCCTGGTATTGATTGGAGGACTACTGATCAGAGAAGCTGGGAACTGGAATTATACGCCAGAGTGCGGCTGAATCTGATCTAGCTATATAGTCAGAGTCTAAAACCCGTCACCATCGAGATTAAGCGGCAATGCTGAGTCTGAACTACCTCAGTTGGTAAAATTTTATTGGACTGTATTGGATTAAGAAAGTATATTTCTCATACCTTCTAAAACAATACACTAGGCAACACATTTTTAATTTCTCTTTCTGCGTCAGTTCTTCCTAGATGTTGGTAACTTTTGCAGCAAGAGAAAAACAATTTAATTGTGTAATGATCCTGATTTGTTTTTGCGGTCATAATTTCCCTACCGTCTATTTTACCTAAGGTTCCTCCGTGCAAAAAACAAGAGTTATTCGTGCTCTAGTAGCATATAGTCCAAGAAAACTATGAGAGAATTTCATTGGAGCAATCTGCTTATTTTCATATCAAGTGCGTAAAATATTTTTTTCCACAATGAAGAATGATGTTATCTGCCAAAATGTAGAGGCAACAACAATGAAGATCGTGTGAAAAACAATAATTTCATATACTTAATATATTAAAAAAATGTTTTCTACAACTATATAAAAATGGTTCTATTACAAATCATTATTGGTTTCATATGTGTAGGTGTTAGACTCATGGCTATCGAAACAAATCATCTTCATCATGGTGCGATTTTTTCTATGATAAAAATGAATATTAAAGCGCGAAAATGAAGATTATTAATGAAGAATATTATTATAACAGTATGCGGCATGTGAGTGAATTAAGTATTTTTAGACCTCTGAAAAACCTGAAGTCACTTAGCAAAAAACTTTTTCTCACCAAGGTAGCAAAGATAGCATTTTCTCGCGCTTCTTTTGGTTCGGAGTTTTTCAATTGATGTTGAAATGCTAGTAAGATAATAATAACAATAATAATAACAACAACAATAATAGTAACAATAATAATAACAATAATAACAATAAATTGTTTCTACTAAGTATACGAGAAAATGTGTGCAGCCGGAGAAAGAGTACTTCAAGTGATTCGGTTGAGCAGTTAAGTTATATGTAACTCGTACACATAATTCCATTTTAATTCAGTAGTCTAGGCAACCCACCACACACACAAGTATTGCACTTTCGTGACATCGTAAGGCGCTCATGGAATTATTTTACCGTTCTCCTTACTAAAATGTGTAACAACCGACACTATGGACATCAAACGTTAAAAATGAATGCTAATAAGACAGGATGTGCCGTTCTTGAAGAGCTTCAATGATTTGACCTGATGACTTGTCCAGTTTCTGATATTCACTGACACTAATATCAACCACATATGAGTAACACAACTGCATTAATTAAATAATTTCTGGACACATTTGTGATAGCAGAAATTACCAATTGAAGGAGTGACCCCATGAAAGAATGATCACTTCTTTGTAGGAAGAATTGCATAAGTAAGATTTCGCGAAATAAAAAGTTATTTTATTGTTTCTGGGAACGGCAATGTTGCACTACACGCACAATGCTTTTTGCCATGTATACGTAGATAGAATTGCCTTATAGAAACGCGTGTAGAGAAATCTATTAATGTTGTTCCTTTCAGTTATTGCAAATCACAAACAATTAGCGAACCAACATCGCATCCGACTTTCGGCATCAGCATTCGATCCCTCCAGTAGTATTGTTTCTGGCGGTTTGGACTAGTCTTTATTATAAGGGATGTTGATACACTTAGCACATCTTTTCCCGAAGTGCAGTTGTTTGTAAGTTTGACGCAAAAGCCTCATGTAGAAACGATTTGTCTTCTGTCAAAAGTTACTGTTTACATTATTTCAGTCTACTATCACCCCAAAATAGTCGACGCTTACTGATCACATTATTTTGAATACGCACTAGCACGTGTGAACGGAGTCGTCGTGAAAACCATGTCATCTAACGTTTGAGTTCACACCAGGCAGTCATAATTCTGAGAACTCTCACAGAATTGCACTGTAAAATCACGGCATCCGTGAGATATGATACCCTTTAAATCGTGGCGTTTTAGATCAGTGCACACTACTGCTGAAACGCAATATGGCGTTTACACTAGCCAAACCACTGCAGTGTAAACAAATGGCTCCTTCGTTTTACGTGTGCACTACGCAAGTGTGCTTGCAGTACATATAAAACTACTTCTCTATTAAGGAAACATTAACAAATACAGAAAATGGATAAAAAGTGTACCAATGGTAATCAATATGACAATACCCTCGGAATAAAACGTTTTGAAAATTAAATTTTTATGAATTTAAAGCATACAGCAGTTTTAGAATAATACATTCGTACAATTTTGCAGCATATAGGTATGGAAAATTCCCTTTCGATTTAAGCATCATCATATATACCCAACTAGATCAAATTACGACAGCTCGGAAGGACAAAAGGGCGGTTATCTCATATGTAGCAAAACTGTCGCCGTGGTGCCCTGATATACTGAAAATGAAAAATGTTTACGTTCATTAAAATATGTAAATAGAAAGTTACTGAGTACTATTAATCTGAGATATTTGAATTATACTGCTATTTTAATAATAAGTCTGCAATGATTTTATGATAATAATTATTTTCACTTAATTGTTTGTTTGACCATAAGCTATATTCTCTCATTTTCTCTAACTGCATCTAGCAGAATGAAAGAGAATCATATATACTCAGGGCTCTGAAAATAGATCGAATTTGGTTAACTAAGGAAAATAACCATCACATTATTACCATATATTATTGACAAAGTTGTATAATTCACAAATTAATATCCTCCATGTGTGTAAAGTGCCGCTTGCATGTAATGTATATTAGATTTCATAGCGACTCTGATATATTAACAGATACAATAGTGGTCGATGAACGTGCGTCTAAAATTGTATGGAGATAATTCGCCGACGAGACGGCCATCACATAAATACGGTTTAGCGGAGAGCCTGGCAAACATACAGTATAAGCTGACTGTATGCAAATGCGTGCATTAAGAGGCACACGCAATCGCTGCGCGGTGGAAGAGAGCTGTTCGCGCGTCAAAGAGGACAGCAGACGGTGGGTGGCGCTAAGCCCGCATGCTCCACCCACGCGACCAGCCAAGTGGGCCGGAGCGCATGCCTCAGTAGTATGCGCGCTCCTGGGACCACTACCCCAC